CAAAAGTGCAAGAAATGACTTAACCAGTTGGCCTGATTAGCAAGGTGCTTTGTTTCATTTTTACTTGTATTATTATTAATTTTTTTTACTTCATTTCCACCTTTGATTGCCACAGTTTCACCAGAATGTACAGTATTATTTTAGACTTTATTTATGAAACGACAGCATAAGAGAAAAATACAGTTCATGTGTACATATTGCCTTACTGAATAAGCTGTGCCTCTGACGTCCCATGTGAGGCACCTGTGTTTTTTCGAGAAGTAAAGCTAGTGCAGCCGATATTGTCCTGTTGTGCAGCTGGAGGATTGTTCGGGGTGTTGTTTTTTTTGGCTCGGTGGTCTTTTCCACCGTCACTCTGTGCTGAAAAGAAACAGCTTTGAAGTGTAGCTCTCATGTAGCTAATGTCACATAAATACATGATATTTTAAGCACATTGTGACTGAGTTGTAATCAGAACACGCTTTCTGTTGATTTCATGATGTTGTCACATCAGATTCTTGTCTTAAAACCCACAGCAGGGTGCGTCTTAAGGCACTGAGCTGCCAGATTAAAGCAGCATTTGCTCCTACGCATCAGGATGTGTAGAATGTGTTTGAAAAGGTGTCACAATCTGGACTCAACCCACCGGCGGCCACCTGCTGGGTGTTGTGTATTTTTTCCACATTTGGCTGTGTTTTGGCGTCTGCCAGCCACTCTGGCAGGTTACCAGCCCTCGTTTGGAGGTCCTGTTGTTTTCAGGTATTTCAGCTGGCTGGTGAAATTCATACATGGATGGTTGAGTTTGGCAGGTGACAAGTTAATTTTCAGTCCAGTCCTCGGTATACTTGAATTCAGTGAAGATCTTACAGTAACCACTTATCAACAGCCAGGCCTAACAGGACTGATATTTGGGGCCAGTTTGTGTCAGATGTTGCCAGGGATGAATGTTTTGAAGCTGAACTAAGATTTCAGCTTCATCAGTGCTAATGATCTTCAATTATAGATTTGCAGTGATATCTGATTTTGTTTCCCAGCTGTCAAAAGGTGGCTGTTCACACAAACCCTGCTACTTAAAGGGACAATCCTTGCTTCAAAAAGAAACTAAAATAAATAAAAAGAAACCACATTTTGCTTTCAGCATACAGAACAGCAACTGCACGCTTATGCGAGCCTTAAAAAAGGATCTCGGATCAGCTGAGATTTCAGCTGATCCGAGATCTCACGTTAACGTTTAGATTTTGTCAGACAGTGAATAAGAAATATATCTCAACTTGCAGAAATGCACATTATGGGCTTTGTCATAAATGTGAGCCACGCAGGACTTGTTTCCAAGCTTTGCGAGGGTTGGCGCTCCTGTCATTGTTTGGAGTGAGCACACGCGAGCTATGCTGAGCCTGGATTTTCCCCTTTAAGAGAGCCAAGACTCCAGCTGACGTTGACATGGTGACACACATTGTCGGCCACCTCCGCTGCTGTTCAGACTTCATGCAGTATGTTCAAGAGCAGTCCAGTGTTGTGTACAGTACACTGAGAACTACATGGTAGGAGGTGGGAGTGAGAGTGGGGGAAAGCAACCCATAAACTCTTTTACTGAAGTGTCAGACACATCATTTTTATTGCTTTCAGCTCTGTTTTTTTTCTTTTGGGTTTATTTGCATCCAAATCCTTTAATATATGAAGTTTGATGACCATTTTTGAAATAGTGTTATGATGATCTGCAATCATAATTGTGTAAAATTGTTTCCTGTATTCATAAATTCGCACTCCTTCAACTTGTTTCTGAATGAAGCAACATATTTCTTTTCAACTCTTGTCGACTGTGATTTTTAAAAACCTTTTTCCTGTGATCACCTCTACACTGTAGTTTCATTTCGATGTTTTTGAATATGTTTGATCAGGTCACCCGAGTGGTTTTGAATTTTAAATACAGTTTGTATTACAAACTTCTGCAAGCACCAAGAGCGTAGTTTAAGCGAATCTTGTAAAGTAGAACTAAACCCTACAAAGGCCAGTTTAGTGGACCGAAGATACTGTAAGGCTCACCACTGAAAGGATGAAATATGAAGTCTTTTTCTCTGTCAGATGGTTAAAAAAGATAGACGGGGAGAAAAAATCAGATGTGGTCTTAATTCACAATCTTCATTTTAAATGGGAGCGAAAACTTTGTTCTAAACTGTTCCCACTACATGCTCAGCTTTGATGATAAATGGAGAGTAAACTGCCTGAAGACTGCTTGTGATTTTTTTTTTTTATCTAACACTAATTTACAACTTTAGTTGTTTAGTTTTCAACTTTTTCTGAGAAAAAGAAAAGGGTTGGTTAAGTTCAGGGTAATGTTTTCAGAGAATGCTGTTTTATGATTATTAATTATAATCTGGGGCCATCGTGTGTGTGTGTGTGTGTGTGTGTGTGTGTGTGTGTGTGTG